TAATTATTTTTAATTTTTATATTTTTTTGTTACGGTTTTGATTTAGAAAATCGTTTATAAATTTATATAATTTAATTTTGATTTCAAATACCAATTTTTATTTTTTTTTTCGGATGCTGTTCTCATTTATAAAATTGTTTACACATTTTTTTAATTTGCAATTGAGTTTCAGATACCGCTTTTCATATTTTTCAGTTTCAATATTTATTTTGATTTTGATATTGGTGGGCTACTCTATACATGGTTAAATTAATATTATTATATTATCATCTTCCTACACACTTATGTACTGCGTTTGCCTATACATCACGCCGTCTCAGGTAATTTCGTGAAATATTAATCAAAAATAATTTGTGAATAGCAGGTTAGGCACTATACTCGGATAGTTGGAGGTATTTTGATGCAATTGAATAAAAATTAATAAAATCATATAATTTTGCTTTTTTTTTTTTTTTTTTTTTTTGGGTTGTTTTTTTTCATTTCTGTAATATTTAAGTCTTAATTTAGTTATGTAGTGAAAATGTGTATAAAGATTATTAGTTTTACTCGTATTTTATATTTTAATTACATTAAACTTTATTCTTATTAAACAAAAAGAGATATGTATGAAAAATTTTGTACTAAATTTTTAAGACTTTTAAAACTAAAATTCAAACATTATACGAATTTCTCTTTAAATTTGTTATCAACTACGTGTCTAAATGTATCTTAGATAAGCTTAAAATGTCATCATGTTACATAAAATGTTTTATTATGTTATATTTGTTATTTAATCGGTTTGAATAGAAATAGAATTTGTCTTCTGCAATTAATTTTGAAATTTCGAGCTCTTATTACGTAAAGAATTAACTCGCAATATAAAATATTCTCTTAGAAGTTGCTCTTTTCGGAAATTAAATTTATAGGTTCTCAATAATTTCTTTTGTACATGATAGAACTACTTTGGTTATAGTCCTAAAGAACTAACAACATGTTACATTAAACGTTTATATGGCATTTTCATTATGTTTTATAGCAGTTAAACGATGCTCTTCTTGTATTGAAATACGTTTACCAAATGACATTACTAAAATGACAAAATACCAAATAACGTTCCCAGTAAGTTAAATTTGTTTTAGCTATTGCTTTGCAATCAAACTTTCCACTGAAGTGAAACACTACATGCACGTGATATTATACGTGACTGCATTATTTGATTGCTATTTAATCGAAATAAATATCAATACAGACTATGTTCTAAGTCAATGTAGAAATTTATTTTATGATAATAATACGTATGGGATTTTCTCACAAGGAGAATATGTGACTACTTACATTAATGGTTAAGTATTCTGTATATATATCATAATAATATATAGCATTTCTTTTAAAAATGCATGTACCGGAATTCGATCTTAACATCGTTCATTACGCGTTACCTGTCCTAAAATAAAAGACATAATGTTCACATTGTATCATTTTGCAATATTTTTGTTGTTTTAATTAATTGCTCAACAGCCGGATTGAAACTCTATTTATGTGTAATATAGTTATAATATTGTACGATTGGTAAGGTAACAATTTTAAACGAATGAATAAAAAAATATGCGAAAAATAAATAAATTATTAGATATGCGATTGATTCGAAAAAAAAAGGTAAATAATAGCTAATTGTTTTACTGTTTACATTATTACTGATATTTTTATTATAAATCGCTATGGCAATGTTTCAAACCTAATGGGCATCATTGAAAGACAGATAATATCATGTTTGATTAATATGTTTCACTGATAATTTAAAAAAATATATTTATTGTATATTGTAATATATTTAACTATAATACTTAACAAAAATAATAAAACTCCGGACATAGCTTTTATTTATTTTAATTATTTCTATATACAAGTTCCTTGTTTATTTATTTGTATATTAATTTACAAGTTTTATTAACCATTTTATGATTTTTAATTTTAATATTAAATTTGACAGTTATTCAATAAACAGTGAAAACTCTTTTTAACAAATTCTATGCAGCGTAAACTTTTCAATATAACATTGGGTTTGCTTTATAAATTATAAGTTAATTGATTCTCTATAGCGTATAAGTCACTCTCAATAACAAAACAATACTTAATGTTTCTAACCTAACTTTTATGTTTTATACAATTTAGGTGTTATCGTATTATAAATTATAAACGTAATCGGCATAAATGCTGACATTTTCAAGAATGATTGTATTACTTTATTATCTACTTTCATCATCGTAATAATACCGTTATTATTGATATCGAATATGTTATTTTAATTATCGACGTAATGTCTAACATTAAATGCATGACCACTGTAGTGCGCTATCATTCGTTATGGCAAACAAAAGAAACACTGGGTTTTGATCAAAAAGTCAAAGAAACTATACGATATTATTTTTGTCATGCTGGAGTTTGAAGTTGTTTTGCTAATGCTTAAGAAGAAACAGAAAAATTTGAGAGAGACTAAATAAGTACTACCGAGTGAGTAGATTATTCAATTCAATAATCCGCATATATTTACTCTTGAAAATCTAAAAAACTACGGAAAAATGTACGAGAACCTGATTATAATAATTATTAACTGATGAAGAAATCCTAAATGCAAAAACAAAAGGTATCGAGGAGTAAAAGAAAGATGGAGTGCAAGAATAACATGATGATGTCGTCATACCAAGTATTTAACAATTTATACGGCTAAATTATTAAAAAAATTTGTTTCATATTGTTTCATAAACATGATCTATGATGAAATATTAGTAAAATGTTTGAGATACTTAGTAAAATCAGCTGTAGTATTTTTGTACTTGAAAACATTTTATTAATTGTAACCACTATAGTTTCAGTGAAAATATGAGTACTAATGATACATATACTTTTCTTGCAAGTTCTATTTATGGTGCGTTTGAACAGGGCAAACATTTCTGACTATTTTTATTGATATTGCAAAAGTTTTTGACTCGGTTTCACATGACATATTAATAAATAAATTACCATATTTACTAGGAGAAAATATTTTATTAAACTGGTTTAAATCATAACAATATCAAAGGATTCAAATAGTGCGAATTAATGGTAAAAAAAGTTTTATAAAATTTGATAAATTTGGTGTAACCCGAGGCACTATTTTAAAGTCCATAATATTTTCAATTTATTTAAATCACCTTTTTCAAACTTTCCACCACCTTTGGTCCATAGTTCACGCATTGTCTTGATGCACGCATAGATGGAATTTCAATTTTTTACCTGAAGGGCTCGAACAATTAATACCAATCATGCCCGTAGGGGGGGGGCTTTGCCCCCATACCCCCTTAATAAACCTTATTTTTAACATTATATAAAATACAACATTTTAAAATATAATATCCTGGATTTTAGGGAGGGCTACAGCAAAGTTCGAGGGCTTAGACTTTCTCCGTAGCTCTTATGGATGCACCGATGGTTAGAAAGGTCTGTCGTGCGTTGTCCTCCTTCGTGTGAAAGTTTAGTCGCCTATTGCGCGCTTCGCGTACATCCATTAACCTTAAACCGTGTACCTGGATAACGCGCCGTCTCGTGTTCATTTACGTTAGCTGCCAAGTCGCCGTTGCGCATTGTTTGTTTCAATTTACGTGTGCATTTAGAACCGACGCGCCTATCGTGATCATCCGATTATCTTGTCTGTTGATGTATTATTGTGTATAAATATATTTATGTATATTGATATACGATGAATATATCATATATATATATTTTATTATAATTATTATTTTTATTACTATACCATAGTGAGTACTATATTTATACCCACAGCAAATCCGTGAACACCATTTGAATTTCAGTTGTTTGGCTAAATACTAGTTAATAGCCGGCAGCGAGCAGACCTATTTGAGCTTAATTTAAATGATGAAGCTCTAGCTTATGCAGATAATACTGTCCTCTTTTAAAAGCGAAAAATAATCATGATCTTGAATTAGCGGTAAAGTGCGATTTTATTAAAATAAGGAGTTGGTTTTTAATTAATTAATTGTCATGCGATGTAAATAAAACTGTTATGACTTTTGCATTATTAAAGGAATCGATGTTAAAAATAATGATTATTTAGAAAATAAGAGTTTTAATTTAATTGTTTTAAATAAACTTGTGTAAATAATGTTAAGTATCTTGATATTCACTTTGATTAGGATATGAAATGAAAAACACTAATTCATTTATATATGAAAAGAAAGCTATTTTATATATTTAAAGAATTAATATTATTTTAAATCTATTTAATTGTCCTGGTGTTTATTTTGTTCTGGCACAGCGTGTATTATTCTACGGTATAAATGTACAGAGATCGGCTTACCTGATTACTTAGGAACAATTAAACACTACTTATAAAACGTTAATAAGAATTACATTAAAAGGCTATGATAGAATGAATACCGCACTTTACTCGTATTATGTTACATTTTGTCATTCTAGGAATATTTTATGTAAAACAACTCATTAAGTACATTTCATTGATAAAACTACTATTGATTTGAGAAAAGGATTTAATAAGTGCTTAAGTATTACTTCTTAAGAAAGAAAAGAGGATTGTTTTTTCGTTTTAAGAACCAACGTAAAATAGAATAATCATTCAATTTTACATTCAAAAATATTCCATTCGTATATTTGCTCTATATCATGAGTTATAGTGACTGAATTTTCAATTAATTGATGTATGTATTATACATAATAAATTTTTAAATCATTTTTGCTTTTTAAAATAATTATAATTTCTTATTTTCTTAATCTTTAATTTAAATTTTTGTTTTCTTAAAAGTATTATTTTTATGAAAATGTTTATTTTACTATATATATTGTGATATACTATTATATTATACTAATATACTAATTTTCATTCAAGCATAATATTAAAATCAATTGACATTTTATACTATAAATATATATGTAGAACAATATATATATTAACGATGGCTAAGTGATATATATATATATATATATATATATATACATAATTTAGGATTTATACAATTTTTATAATAATATTAATAAATAATTTTTCTTACATTTCAAAAACATGAGCATTTACCGCTAATTTCATCCAAGCGATTGAGTTTTAATAATTGGAGTAATCGTTAAAATAATTTGAATGTTGTTCATAATTTTCATCTACATCGTAAGGACTTATGACATTGGTTTCATAATACTCTTCATATACTGGTGCGGTAATTTTAATCTCTTCTTGCTCATTTTTCGGGAAAGCTAAAACAAAAAGAATATTTATTTTTTAAATATTCCTCGAGCGATGGATTTTAATTAATTTTATTGCGTAATACTTTAATTATTTTTATTTATACTTCAATAACACCCCGTCGTATATCATAAAGGTAAAAAATCGAGCGTTCGATAAATTTAGCACAACAGGTGGTTATAGAATCGTTATAATTTATTCCGGTTGTCAAAATCTAGTTAACATTACATTAACGTGATGAGCGATATGATGTGGTACAATAGTTAGCTATAATTGTCTCTCGACAATTTGACGATAAGGCCATGCTTACTGTTTCCTGTATGGATAACCTACAACTTATAAGTAAATAATTAATCTATGCTCCTAATATATAAATAATCAAATTTATCAAGCAACTGATAAAAAATGTCAGTTGTTCTAACAGATCAAATATCCAGTACTGTTCTAAGTAAAATTAATAAAAAATAAAACTAGCATCTATAAACATATTATTTTTCATTAGGTACCTACATGATAAAATAAACAAACGAATTAATTATTTATGCTACAATTTAATAGTTTACATATGTACCTATAATAAGTAACACAAATGGAGATATTTGATGAACTTATAGTTTCGAATTTAATTTTATATTTTAACATCGTTTTAATTTCAAATAGCATTTATAAATACAAAATCGATTCTACTTACAATTGTAATGTGAAAAATGTATGCATTTTTACTTTGGAAATTAGTATTTTGCAACTACAATTATTTTATTAGGTATGTTGTATAATACTTCAGAATAACTACTTTGATTGTTTTGATTAAAATTGTACGTCTATTATGGTATCAACTCCGACAAACTGATAAATTTAAATTTTCAAATATCTCAGGATTGTTAAATTAAAGAGCTTGAAAATTAGTGAGTCTGATTTTTTTTACTGTGTTGTATTGGTTGTACGCATTTAAAAGAAATGATTAATCATCGAATTAAAACACGACGTATTTTATATGATATTATATCTTACCCTAGAATACAAACGGCATAATTCAAAATTTTTTGATTTTAAGTTAGTACTTTTGCTGAAACCGTCGGATAAATATCCATTATTTGCGATCATCATTTTTTTTCTATCTTATTTTAAGTTTAATTCAAAGTAGAATGTGATAAAAATATAGAATATATTTGTTGTTCTCCATAAGATTGTTTATTATTAAAGATGATTTATATTTTTGTGGTATTGACCATTAGGGAATTTATTGAACTTATATGAAAACAGAAAACAATGATTCATGACAACTAATTAAAAAAAAAAAAATCAAAATATCACTAAAAATTATATTGTCGGACGGTTTTGAAAATTCTTAAAATCTTTGATTGCATTTTCCCAGTAATTACTATTTCTGAGTTATGCCGTTTGTATTCTATGGGTGCGATATAATTCTTTGATTTCTGTTGTATATATTTTGTTTATTTTCCTGGAAACTTGTGAATACCTTATGTTAATTAATATTTTGAAAATCTATTACTAAGGAACAATTATGACGGCGTTGAATATAGGCAATTACTTATGAGTTAACGTCTTGCTTTCGGTTACATTTAATTTGAAACCATTTCACGGCATTGTAATAACGATAATAGGTTAAATTTATTAGTTTCACGTTTTAATTAATTAAACTCCATACCACGACAATAGCAGATTATTAGAATTTATTCCAAAATAGAATAAAAATTAAAAAAGGTATTTATATAATGTAACATTATAGCACGAATATCCGGTATACTAATTTATAATAACCGACCTCTTTTTAGTTTTTCTTTGGTTACGTTAAATATAATAATAAAAATGTTATGAAACTTATTTTTATATTAGGTATTTTTCTTACATAATCATCATTAAAATTATAAGTTCTTAATAAGTTTCTAATACTTCACTAATAGAACGATAAATTGAAAAAAGTTTACTTTATTAGTAACCTACGTTAAGATAATACAAGAGCGTTTAGTTGTACGTTTAAAATTGATAAATAATGTAATTAAAGAATTAAGTTAGATTTGAAGTGTAGTAAGCAATTGGCTGAAATTTAAAAGTGTTCTTTTCAATTTAAAAGTGTATTTTCTGTCATCAAAGGGATTACATTAGAAATAATTCAAACTTTTTAAAATAAAAATGTTTTGTTTAACAATAATCATATTGATGTCGGTTTAACTGGAGTTAATTTTTTGTTTCAGTTATATTATACATATACTTATTACATACTCGTATTATTACTTATATTATTTTAAAAATGATTAGAAGTATAAAATAGCAAATACATTTTTAATTTGAATTAAAATTTTATGTAAAAATTAAAAAAAATTAACACTATTAAATATCGGTCACGGAAGTTTTGGCACCACCGTTTTATCGTAAAATTTAAAAAATTGTGCATTTGACAAATATACGAGTAGGAGTGTATAGGATACCCTGTATATTTAAAATATAAACAATGAATTATAAAAAATAAAAATAAATTTTATCATAGCGCTTTTTTTTGGTTCAATAATCATGATAATATCACTTGTGGCATTTGAATATCTTGACATAGCAACAAGGACGAATTCAGCATCAATTCAAGGTTATATAAAAGAAATTATTTAACATAGCTTATCATAGGTAGGGATCTTTGTATCTAAAAATAATGAGACAAAACTATACTAAAACTGTCAACATATATTTTTCTTATCTATTATTTAGTTTTTCTAAACTTATTTACTTGCTGATGAATTACCCAAAGAAATAATTTTATTACTTGATGAATTTATATTCTATACATACATAGAATGTTTAATAAAAATTTGTCAAATATACAATTTTTTTTAAATTTTCGGTGTCAAAAATATCTGTGTTATACTCGATTGGCACTCAAACGGTGGAACTAAAATGTCTTAGACCAATTAAATATCGTGTTTTTCTTCATTTGTCTTATTACATTTCTTCCCTTATTTAATAATAGATCTAATAAAATGCAAATATTTCACTCATGGTTGATTAATATAATTGTTTGGTTTTAATTTACTTTTTTATGAATAGGAATTCGATAGTGCTAAGAAGTAAAAAAATTGGCAAACTATCTGCTAATAAAATCTAAATTTATTTCTGAAGTTACGAGTTCCTGTATTTTTGAGGACACCAAAATATTATATATATATATATATATAACTGTATACAATAGTGCAGTGGTCGTAATGGTGGTATAAAAAACATGAAATTAGTACTCGTGCGTATAAATTGAATAGGCAAGTTTAATGTGGTATTAGAACACATCATGGACATTCAATTACTGTACTTAAATGGTGGCTAACCATAATGTTGCTATAAATATGTATATTTATAACAAACCTAATATGATAGGCATGGGTGGGCCCGTACATTTTTAAGTTAATTAAAAAATGTGCATATCAATCAGTGTCGTAACCTAAATTATACTTGAATGCCCGTGGTGGAATATATTTTACTAGTAGTTTTGGGATAGCAGAAATTAATCATTTGTTGAAATCATCTAAATCTGCAAAGCTTTATTGATATTTTTTTTTTGTATACATTATTAGTTTTTTAGTAACATTTCAACGACCATTCTTTCGAGTTACATGATTTGCATTACCCAATTGTTGGTAGATATTGTTATAATTAGATTATTTTTATTGACATTAATATTATTGATACATAAATAAATTCATAAATAAGAAACAATCTTCAAATTCAAATCGGTGAATAAGACACTCATTTATTTATTTCATTATGAGGTACAATTTCACTTTATCGAAATAATGTCAACTTTTGTTCCTTATTAAATAAATAGCAATATTCAATATTTCCAAAGCTTAAGTATCGAACGATTTTATTACTATATGAATTTATGTATCTAATTTATACCCTTTGAATCCATATAAAAAGTACGTATGGGAATGTCGGAACACATTAAAAAACCATTAACTACAATACAATATTAATAAAAATGTAACACGTAACGATAAATACTTTAAATATTATCGTCTAGTATATAAAACGTTTTTCTTTTTTTTTTAATTTATACCTATAAAATAGGAATTTCTTTAAGCTGTTTTGTTGATTTCATTAAACATTTGATTAGTATTAATGATTTTTTTTTTCATATTCAAATCAAAATCGAAAATGGATGAATATATTAGAACTATTTTATACAATTGTTGTTATAAATTATGAGTAGCAAAGATCTAGAAAGTAAATTTTGTCCAAAGACGAAAAAATATTTGTATTATTATTATTTTTTGAGAGATTAAAAACAATGCAAATTTATCTTTTACATTATGGCGGTATTATAATTTATCCGAGGTACCAAATATTAAAAAGAGATTTTTAATATATAAATAAATAAACAAATAGTTTATATATAAAACAATAAATTTAATAAACAAATAAAAGCTTAACCTGGTTAAATTATTTATTATTATATAAACTAAATATTTATCTATATATTAATTTATGAGTATTAAATATTTAATAATTTTTAATGTATATTTTATTTTTTATTATTTTATTAAAAATGCTTAAATCAAATTTCATTTGTTTAATTATCAATTTATTTTGATAAAATATAAAATTTAAATAAAGCAATTTAATTTGAGGTCTTTAAGGTATGATTTTAATTAAATAAAAATTTTAAATCTGTTATTTATAAATGTATTAAATTAGAAAAATTAAAAATAAATGATTTTTAAATAGTTTTATCATGAACCCTGTTTTAATGTTTGTTTAAGGTAAATAATTATAAAAATATTGCTCACGTAAATATACACGTCTCTTGGAAATCAAACGGCTCAACTAAAATTAATAATTTTATAGTAAAAATAATAAAATAAGTGAAATTTATTTATATAATAATGAAAATAATAGTTTTAATTTAATAATTTGCTGACAGTTTTGAAAAGATTGTAATAATTTTAATAAAAAATTAACTTACATACCTATTATTAAGAAATATATTAATATAAAAAAAATAATCGTCTCTAGAGACCTGTATGATTTAATTTTACTGTGACTTCGTGTGTATAATATATGTTATATAACATGATGAAATTCTGTATACGAGTACACGCAAGTTTTATTTCCTAAGATGTATAACTTAAGTAATTGCTAGGTATCATATTTTATTGATTTTTATATACTTTATAAAATCAAATTCAAATCTTAATAACATGAAAAGTATAATGGATTCAAAGATAAATGATTAAATAGTATTTTTTTTTTAAAGTTAAAGTGACTCAAAGACTTTATATTTATTATATAGAAACGTTATATTTTTAAAGAAAATAAAAATAATTTGTAAGTTTTTAATTGGTTTTCGAGAAAATTATAACACAATAATAATTGCAAAAATAATTATTCTACACTCATTCTCAGTATTTGGAATACAATAAGGTTTTGAAATCATAATATGATAATATAGATTAACCGTCCCTTTGATCCTTTAATCTATAGACATTTTTTAAATGTATTTTAGTATGCTTCGTTTTTTCAATAAAAAATTAATTGAAACTATGAACTTTTTCATGAAAGGTATCCAATATATTTTTAATTCTTAAATTTGGTATTTGAGAAGTTATTTAAAATTATAGTTATAAAATTAAGTTGAATCAGTGGCATAGCCAGGATTAAGTTAAGGTGAGAGACAAGAATGGTTTTCAAAAGTTTGCATATAAAGGTACGTACAATGGTAATGTTAATACGGGCTTAGTTCCAAACTTATTTAACCATATTTTATACTACTGCAGTATAGAAATTGCTATGGTTTTTATATTTTACTTATGAAATAAAATTATTTTATTAACTAAACAGAATTTTTTTAGGGGCAAAATAATCACAATAAAGTCTTAAAGTAAACTTCTAAAATCCATCTTGCTTATACCCCCGACTTATGTAATAACTATTGTTATACAACATTATTATGCTAACTTAAGTTATACGCTGGTAAACTATTTATGTTTCACACTATTTACAAGATACCCCCTTGTAAAGTGTAAAGTAAATTATTTCACTCTTTATCGATTAAAATATAATTCATAAAATGATTATTATTGTGATGGTTAGTTTTTTCTATGATATCTCCAAAAGCTTTATCTGTTGCAAAGTATCACTCTTCACAATTAACAAAGATTAAACAAATAAAAATCAATATAAATGTATTAAATTTTATCTTTAATTTAGAACTTTAAAATATTTATAACTTAAGGTTCTTATAAATTATAAGGAATAGTGCAATATGATGAATATAATGACCTATTTTTAATATTATTCAATGAAAATATTCATGAAACTTATTATTCATTAATGTGCCCAGATAAAATGTATAATAATATGATATTTATGTTAAATGTTTCTGAACATCATTTGGTACAAAATATTTTAATTATTTCATATTTAATTACGTCAAAAAGAAATCCCCTCACCTTATACAAATATGTTACTTTTTATTCGTAATAATATTTATATGCATTTTATAAAATAGTTAATTTTTTTAAATTTAGTTGAATTCTCGGAACATATAAAATACATTGTTATGAAAATTAACGGTACATCAATATGATTACCTATGAAATAAACATATTTTATAGTTAAGTATCATAACTATATTCTAAATTGTACTTTTTTATTTTATATTTTAATTGGTCTGAAATAAAGCTATATAATCACATCGAATTAAAATTTATTTTTTTTTGCATTTTTACTATTCTTTTCTCTTCTAAATCAAGGTACCACAAACGCTATCGATATGTGTCACTGTTTATGCATATACTCATATCATATATATGTATTATGGCTATTTTATTATTATATTTATGTCAGTAACTTTGATTTTATTTAATTCACATCATGTTCAAGAAAAAAAAATGACTGATTCGAATTATTCATCGAATTTCGAAACTTTTGGGTGTCTAAAGATCTCCAGTTATGATTTACTTAAATTGTAATTAATCCGGCAATATTTACTCCGAGTAATATCATTATGTCACGTAATAATACACTACCAACATTTGTTACCGTCATGTCTGATAAGCGTCCATCAATAACACCAATTTAAATAATAAATCGCACTACTGTCTCAAGTATAATAACTATTCGAACCATTCATATTAATAAAATTATTCAAAATACTATACAAAAATCCCATTTTACTGAATTATTTTGCAATGTACCACAAAACATTAAAAATATATTTGATGGTGGTGTCTCTAATTAAGATTGTGTTGAAATAATTGCTCATAAAAAACACAAGCGCTCAAAACATTCTACAGCAGGAAAATCTCATAAATCCAAAAGCACTATAAAGCAACGAAATTCAAAATTTGTAACTGAAAATTGTTACACTACTTTGTCTCAAGTTGGCAGTATAATCAAACCGAGATAATAAACGAAGACGTCCTATCCACTGGGAAAATAAAACTATCTTCAATATTTATTTAAATGAATATAAATCACTTTTTACATAACAAAAACTTTGATTTAACACTTATCACCGAAACTTATCAATATAAATACTTATAAATACTCATTTTAAAATACATGGGATTGAAATAATTCGTGCGGATAATTTTTCCGGAACTATGCACGCAGATGTATTTATATTAATCAGGTATTCAATTCTTTACATAGAATTTCAAAACATAAATAATTCATACAAATATTTCAATCAAAATTCTATAAATGCATCCACATTTCTAGTAACTTTAAATTCTTCAAAACAAAAGAAATAATGCTTTTCCTATCCGTATAACTAAGCTAATATAAGCCTAATGTAGAGCTAAAGCTACCTAGAGCTACCTGAAAAAATTCAAGATACCCAATTGACAAAATTCTATTTGACCAGCTATAAAATACGCTCAAAACTGAACTGTTCAAACACAGATTTTCAAAATTTGAATCTCGTCTAGAATCCCTAACTCCATCTGATGGCGCAATCTGGCGTACCACCAAGTGGAATTAATAAACCAACGTGATATTATCCCTCCACTAGTATGCCCAAAAAGAGAACTATTGACATCCAACACGGAAAAAGACATCTCTTTGGAAACTTTTTATTCGGAACTTTTACTTCTCATCCATCCAGCTTACCAAATAATGACCATATAGACGTAGCTCATTGATTTCTGTATGCTTCGCTACTAATATCGCTACAAGCTAAACCTAAACCTAATTACTCTATGTAAAATACTCAAAAAATTACTCGTAACGAGTTTCATCTAAAAAAGTTTCCAAGGCACTATTTAATATCTAATAAAATAGTTCAACATCTTACAAAAAAATCAATACTTGTGTTAATTTATATATTCAATGCCATGTTGAGACTATCACATTTTCTTTCAACGGGGAAATACTCAATCATCGTTATGATTTCACAACTAGACAAACCCAAGTAATTAGTTACATCATACCGACCAATCAGCCTACTACTTTTACGTTTGGTAATTTATTCGATAAACTACTACTAAAATACAAGTACAGTACAGCCATAATCCACAAAAATAATATACTGCCAATATCTCAATCCAACCAAACGTAATACCATCTACCAAGAACACAGAATAACTAATCACATATCTACTTTTTTTGAGAAAAAACATTTCTATCCAGGAGTCTTCCTTGATATCTCTCAAGCGTTTGACTGAGTGTGGCACGATGACTTATTATTAAGGTTTAAACCTTTTCTACCTGCACCTTATTATCTTATTAAAAAATCCTTCATATAAAATCTCTGTACGTACTACTAATTTTGTGTCCCTCAGGAAAACGATTTATCGCTTATACTTTATAACGTCTATACTTCGGATATTTCATCAACCAACAACACTATACTTACAACTTATGCCGAGGATATGACAATCCTAGTTTCGAACCTTGACAAAAATGTAGCTACTAATTATATTCAATCCCACTCAAACCTTATATCAAATTGAGCTCAACTGGAGGATAAAATTCAATGAGACAATATCGGTACAAGTAAATTTGACATTACGACTTAAAGAATATCCCACACATTAAAATTGTGTCAGTACTGAGAAAGAGGTAAAGACTTCTGAAACTGAATATCAAAATCTTCTCACAACCATATTATTTACTTATAACGGTCCTGGAATTTCCATTTCATTTAAACGGATTTAAAATCATCATAAAGCTAATATATTTTATCATATTGATTGAGTATGATTGGTATTTTCGACCACAAAACCACTTCTGCGTTTTTACCGATCGAAAATATCGGTTTAACAACTGTTATATTGAACTCACTTATCGGTCCTCTGGCCGATAGCGGGTCATCGTCTCTAGCTGTGCTAGGATGGACGACCACAGGAATTGTCCGGATGACGTTCCGAGTTTTTTTGGATCCGTGTACTGGGATATCAGACTTGCTGACCACCGCATTGAAGCCATGCACCGGATCGGCCGTGTAGTCTACTGTGCGTACAGTGCCGTCGGGTTCCACAAGACTGTACTGCCCTCTGACCACATCGCCGGTCCGCTCTTCCGATTGATGTTTAATATCACCCGTAGACGGGTCGTGCACGCCATACTTGTACATGTAACTGACCGGTACCTGTTAAACGACAAAATTTCGAACACGTTAAATACAAAGTGTTCGAGAAAAATGGAAAATTTGAAATACTTCTCGCCCAAGAAAAAATAAATACATTTACATACATTTTGCTATTGAATACTAAATCTGCATAATATTATATGCTATTGAGAGTCCAAAAATAAAAATATCATGTCTTGAAATGAATGTCTGTAAGATAATATCCATACTTTGTACGCATACATGAATATGTGCCTCGTTCGGTATTAAAAAGTTACCAACAAAACTAGGGTTGTCTATTATCTTTTCCATAATTTTTTCGTATTAAATTGTAACGGCCTTAATTGGTGATCCGATGATTACAGCACCAGCAGAATATTTGGATAATGAAATTGTTGGATAAATTCGTACAATATGTCAACGTTGGATTTCAAGAATATATATAAGGATTAATGGACTCTATTTAAAGAACATTAATTTTAAGACATAATATTTTTAACTTCTGTACTCTTAGTATCATATAATTTAGATTTTGTTTTCAATAATAAAATTGCATAAATACCATTTTATTTTTATTCTTAAACGGGTTATTTAAAATGTTCTTATTTTCTTGGAAGACTTATTTTTAGGTTTTTGGAAAATTTTTAAAATACATCACAAATGCTAAAATATCTGACTAATACGGAAATAGATTGGATTATTATTTTTTTCTTACATATAGGTATATACATCGAAAAATGTATATATATATATATATATATATATATATAATTATGCATAAATATTTATATATATTTAATTATAACTAGATAACAGATTAATAAAACAAGCTTCTTAAACTCGTTTTATTATTTCCATGAAGTATATACAAATCAAGCAAAATAATTGATTTATAAAAATTAATTCCGACAAAAAACCAACCTTAAGAAATACGTAAATAAAAATTATTTTTTCTGATATACAGAAAACTAAGCCTTGGATAAACACACTAAAAATTATATTTGATATGATTCTAAATGTAAAATGTGAAGACCCTTTTATTCTATGTTAAAATTTAATTAAATCACAAACAATAAATGATTCTCATAGTATCATAATATTCATACTATTTGGTAGGTATACTTCTTGCATAAATTAGGAGTATTTAAATTAAAAAATGTAAAATAATATCATATCATTATATAATAATATAAGATTTATTACATTTCTATATCATCAATATTTCTCTCTATTAAATTCGTAATATATTTTAATTTTCTCCGTCTCATGACTGACAAGCCGTCTATTGAAAGGAAATATACTTTTTTTTATATAAACTGCGGACTTGATAAAATTTTACGCTTGTAATGGAAAGTCAATCGTATCCATTTAAGTGCGATTTCTAAGATAACGTTTTACAATAAAATTGAATGTATACGTAGAGTAGTTATATAAGGGAATGTTTCATCTCCAAATCTAATAATAAAATCTCTGGTTCAATAAAAAAAATTAATTGAAAAATAACCAATTGATTATTGAAAAACTATAGTAAATTACTAAAAATACATTATTGTATTACCGTATAAACAAATCAGCTTCAACCTAAATTGTCATACTGAAACTTATCGGCAATTGATTTTCGTTTGATTTGATAAAATAAGATAACACGTAAGGTCTTAATTATTAAAATATTCTTAAATGGTTCATGAATATAATCTTGATATGTTAATATTATTTGATCGTCATTAACTTTATACAAAAATGTTTAATTTAAATATTTACACCTTTAAAATATTACATTAATATTCGAGTCTCAAGTTTTTTTTTAAAAAAAAAAATGTAATTAAAATTAAAAATTAATAAATGATTAATATTTGTAAATTAATATGTAAATAAATAAAAAAAAAATAGTTTATATAGAGAAATAATTAAATAAAAGCTTACCTTGGTGTATTATTATATTTGTTATGTACCTACGACAAATTTCGAAGTAATAATTCATCAACAGTTGCAATTTTATTAAATTTGTACGTACATACCTGATAATGCATTTTTAATTCAAAACCAGTTGTACTTTACAATTATATTAATATTCCATACTAAGCTTTTATTTATTTATTTATTTATTTATTTATTTATTTATTTATTTATACTTGTATTTATAAACTATTCGTTTATTTTTATATTCATTTACGAGTATTAACCATTTATTAATTTTTAATTTAATTTGTTATTATTTTTTTTTTTTTTTTTAATTTGCCTTTGTTCGCACATTACAGCAAAGCGATTATATAAAAATTTATTAAAGTTATTATTTTAAAACTTACAATTTGAATACTAATGTAATATTATAGGTATAAATATTAAAATTCAGCATTTTTTATATAAAGTTAGTAAAGATATAGTTTAATTTAAATAACAAATTAAAATTATAATTGCCAATCATTTAAAAGTTTTATTGATTTCTAAATACATCGTAACCTCTTAGTTCAAGAAATTATATACTGAACCTTATAGTTTATTGAACTTTCATCATGGGCAAATAACAACGATTTTTGTAGATTTATTGTGATAAATATAATGTTAAGTACAAATATTATAATCTTGAAAAATATAAAAATGATAATGAATAAATATATCTGAGAAAAGAGTACATAATATGTTTTATCGTGCAGCTACAAAATGTTTTGTATTTAATATTTTTTATAACTTTGATACAATAACAAAAAAATATAATACAATTTCTTTTACATAATATCATTATGACATGTTTATTAACTGAATATAAGTTGAGTTTTTAAAAATAGATCAGTTACATATGATAATAAAATCATTGAATTAATATTTGGCTGTTTAAGAGTGATTCCCTCCTCCTCAAAAAAAAAAAAACGTATATTTAGCATAAAAATTGAATAAAATTAATTAAATATATACAGTATATATTTATACACTATATTATACACTGATTAAATTTAAACTAATATGGTTATTATTATCAAAAACGACCAAAACAAATGTGAAATTCATGAAATTTAAACTTATATTAATCAACCATAGGCATTTAGTATATTAAATTAAAGAATCTGAATTTGGTATTTTTAATATTTTTATAATCATGACTTTACGTGTAATTTATGGTATAAAAACGAACGAAAATCAACTGTTCATAAGTTTCAGTTTGATAACTTGGATCGAAGCAAGTTTTTCTTTGGTTGTATAATAGTGCTATTGTATTTTTTACGCCGTAGAACATATTATTCGAGTATTTTCTACGCAATGTTATAAATGCGTATTAAATCGAAGATAATAATGCTAATGACAGAAATGTTTAATGCTAAGAAATTTAATGGCAATCAATTGTTCAGATGGAACGATGAAGATATTAGTCTTTTGTCTATCAACTGTGCTGTGCCGTTATTTGTTAAATCCTTTTTTTTTTGGTATGATTATATTTTCATGTAGTTCAATCTTAAAGAGTCGGGAATACATCACATATGGTACTTAAATGTGTAATTTTGCAAATTGTTTGTAACTTTTTATGAAAAAGGTATGAAAAACCACAGTATTGAAGGTAGAGTTTTTATTTTAAATAATAATATATATTCGTTTTCAGAAAAACGGCCCTAAAAAAAAAAAAAAAAAAAAAAATGTATTTTACTTAATTCGTGTCATATTAAACTGATTTTACTTTTTCTTTTTCTTTAAAAATTTGATACTTGTTTATTAATTAAATAATTCATTATAAATATTTTTTTTAGCTCAAACTGTAGGCAAATAAAATAAAATAAAATAAATCATTTTTTTTTAAATTTTAATAATATATAGGGTTTCATAATTCACGATATTTTTTTACATGCAAAATAATATTCTATTGAAGTTATTTCTATTACTTGTATAATTAGAGTATTTTTTTAATTTTTATTTTTTTAAGTGATTGTATGTTTTATTATTATGTGTGTACAAAATTATATTGTAAGATAATAGTAAGTTTCAAGAGATATTTTGTTGTGACATTCATTTAAAACTTGAATTTGTATTTCATTATTATTATTTATTTTTTTTTTAATTAAATTAAATTTGAATAATAAATATATTAGTAAAAATAAATTGTCTTGAACTTCATAAAAAAAAAAAAAAAAATATATGTATAGTAATTTTGAAGTAGCTGCTGGAGATTAGATTACATTTTAAATTTCTAAAGCATTTATGAAAATAACAATATCAAAAAGAAGATTGAAGAATTTCCTTTGTAAATATTCAATTGATTACAAGAATAAAGTTATAATAGCATAATGTTTAAAATTTTATTAGTATAATATGAATTCAAACGTCTCAATTTATGTTTTATAAAATTTACGAGCTTAAATAATTTGACTTAGCTTTTAAAAATTCTAGAAACTATTCTCATTATGTTAACACTATTGAAGTGTACTTTAATTTTAATGTAAATCAATGTTAGTTAAAATAAAAAAATCACAATAATCAAAATCACAAATTTGCTACTTTTGATTTTTAAGAAATTTTTAATTAAAATTCTAATTTGTTTTCTGTGTTACAATAATTTATATGTTATATTTTATGGTAAATTAAACGCATATTATGTTGTATTATAGATTTGAGTAACAATTTTATTTTTGTTTTGTTTTAAGCAAAATAAAAATAAAATAATAACTAATATCCAACAATCTGAAAACGAACAAATCTGAAATTAATTTTACTCTATATACCTTAACCATCAAAACGTACATACTGCCATAGCACATAGTTATGTTATCATTTAATAAATTCCAAATGGAATTTAATCTAGAACTAAATAGAACAGGAGTTATAAATTTTACGATGTTTACTGAAGTAGAGGATATATGTAGGTAACTAATGATAAACATGAAAGAGAGTTGAATAAACGAGTAGTATATTTTGTCGGTATGTAATCAAAGTTTACGTTTTGAAAACTTTTTTTCTATAAATTCTTAGATGTCTATAATAATAGAATCTTACTATTCTTGGCAAAATATAAAAGAAATAACGAAACTGTACTATGATACGGTAGACGGTAATATAATGGTTTGAAAATTATCTAAACTGCGGGATAAATAGAGGACCACTTGTAAAACTACTATGAATGGGCAAGAATTTATGAAAATATCATTCATTAAACATGTTATTATCATTATAATACTTTTTATATATTTTTTATTTAAGGGAATACCAATGTAACATATAAATCTAGCCTTGCAGAGAGTGGTGAAATAAATACTTCCAAACAGTAAATAACTACACATGACTTAAAATTATCAAGTGATTTTTCCATACCTAATAAGAAGCGTAGAAATATCTATCAATAATGAGTTTAATTAAATTTTAATTGTAAATAAAATAACAATGAATAATATTGAAAACTCAACTTAGTATAAAATATAACACAAATTAGTATAAATAAAAATAAAAAAATGTTACCAAAATCGCAAAATCATTGATTAAGCTCATATATTTTTTTTTTTTTAAATTTTAACCTTATTTTTTATCGTTATAAATATATTTACATATTATTGATGGGTCAAGCTGTTCGGTTCGAAATTGGAACTCTGTATGAAAAAAATTGAACCGAACTATCAAATATTTTTTACTGTTCGAAAATCGAACTTGAAAATATTTGTCGAATCAGACTTACTGGACACGATAGTTCGAAAACCAAATATTTGTACAATTTTTAAAAAGTTATTTTTGAAAAATAAAAATTGATAATGATTATTTTAGAAATAATTAGACTATTGGCGATAGTGATGATCTGTAAAGGGCACGTTATGCATTATTTATTATAATAATGCTATTATTACAATAATAATGTTATTTTTCCAGTCGTATGTTAAACATTTACCCTCCGCCGACCAGAACATTAATAAGTTGTTTATCGCCATTAGAGGCAGTGTATCTACATTCATGAATTAGCTATTTTTGTTTTTATCATATTTATTATAGAGGTTAAAATCTATTTTGGGTAAATCCATGGTAATATTCTGATACCGCAACTGTGATGTTAATAAAAACATGTTTACAACTTACGCCATACATTATAAATTCTACTTATCATTCTATATTTGTGAATTATAGTTATTATTACTATTTTTTTATATATTATTAAAATGTACTGATTGTATTGTCATATTACACTCAATACTCAATACTCAATTAATTTTTTATAAGCTAAAAAACAACACGAGAGAGCACAATAATGGTTTGGAAAAATAATAATAATAATAATAAAAAATTATTTAAAATTTAAATGTTTTGTAAATAATACAATTACTTAGACTTAAAAGGTAAAATGTAGAATAGGTAATACGAAAACTTAAAATACAATAGTAATTAATAATTATGGTTGATTTAATTTGTAGGTAGGTACAATGTACACGATAAAAATTAATGAGTTCGAGTTCGAGTTCGACTTAAAATCATAATAGGTTTGGTTCGGTTCGGTTCGGTAGAAAATATGAAGGTTCAGTTTATTTTGAGTTCGAAAAAATAATTTAAAGTTCAGTTCAAGTTCGGTACGATTTAAAAAATCATTGTTCGACTCATCATTAATATATATATAACAGACCTTTTTTAAGTTCCAATTTTCTAACGAAAATATTGAACATTTTTTCAATTTTTTCCACAGAAGTGTACTAAACAGTTTCCTAAGGGTAATCACTCGATTTTTCATTTTTTCGTCTGAGAGTGGATGAGAGAGGATGTATTGTATTAAAAGGTGGCGGATTTTCAGAGAGTAATTTCAAAAAATTTTCTTACAAAATTGAATTCCAATAACTCCCTATAAGTTATGGTTGTGCTATTTTTATTGATTTTTGCAAAATAGTAGGGATGGAAGAGAGATGTATTTTATTTTAATATTACGGTTTTTTTTTAGCGTGGAATTTAAATAATTTAACATTTTTTTTTTTTTCAAAAAGTAGTTCAAAATAATCCTTTGAGTCAACTATTAGTTCCAATTCTATTGATGTCTAAGAAAATGGAAATAATGTTGTTTAAAAGAAAAACGTCACACCCGTATGTGTATCTCCAAACATTCAACATTGTAAATTTGCGTTCTATTGTTTAAATGTGGTGAGGTTAGCTTTAATATTAGAGGAAACTAATTTCTTATCAAATCTTAAGGAAAGAATATTATCTGTGTTTTTGGTTAGTTTTAATTTTCAATCGAATTATGAATAAGTAAAATATTATAATTAAAAAAACTCATAACTATCTGATCATCAAAACAGATATTTCTTTTAAAGTTTGATATTATTGAAAATTCCATTTTATCCCAAAAAAATTTTCAGTTCACTTCAGAAGAGTTCAGTTTTTAATAAAAGTTTGTTTAGCAATGACAAAAAAATAAAGCATAAGGTAAGTTTTTAGCATATTGTGAAGTAGATTCGGAAAATAACTGCATTTCATATGAAAAATGTATACATGTGGTATACCAAAAAATTTGTCTTGAGTCATTTAAGAATATAATAAATCAATATAAAATAATTCAAGTTAAATTATACAAATTACATTTATAACTATAAAATAATTTGTAGATATCATAAATTATAAAAATGATGTATATTATATGGATATGCTTTAAATAGTTTAATTATAATAAAAAACAATGTATAAATACAATGTGCTCGTATATACGATTAATTTATTCAACATACAAGTGGAGTCGGGTTATTCAGCTAATATATTAAATAACAATTTAAACTACAGAACGTAATGATTTTAATGATATATGGTAGAATAATATTATTTTATTTAAAATAATTAGTAATTTAAAAATAAAAATTTTTCTTCGATAATTTTATTCTTTTTTATACATTTTTTTTAATACAAATAAATAAAATATTATTCAGAAATATTCAACGTAAAATCGTATAAGGAATTTAACTGTAACTGTATACTCAAATAGTTAAACTACTTAAACTTAACAGAGAACAACATTTAAAGTAGGTTTTATGAAAATAACAAATAAATTAAAATCATAATAACTTTTAACAATCAGTGACATGTATACAAGTTTTATTTGACAGTAATATTTTTAAATAATAGTTATTAATATGGCTATAACTAAGTAATATTATAAATTTTTAAGCAAAAGGTTCCCGTAATTATATACTTCTGATATTGATAATTGTAACTGAAAAACATGTATTTTACTACGGTTTTTATATCAATAGTTATGTGACTACCATGAATGCTACAATTATATATAATTTAAATTTTAAAATATAATTTTGGGCATACAAACATTTCCTATGGTGACTTCTATAGATGCCACAATTGTCTTATTCGTTAAATTTTATTTTTAGGTTTGCACGTTAAAATATGCATAACTTGTAGTTAAGTATATTATGGCTAATATTCCTACTATATATACTATACTTCCTTACAATAAGCTAATATATAATTCGGTGTTCTTACGTAATAATCAATATCTGATTGACCTGGATATCTTGGCCTTGACAACGATATATTTACTAATAGTAGTAAACATGGTATTACCTGAAAAATGTATAATTTTTTTATTATTTTGGTTGTCGTACTATAAAATGCTTACTATATGATTGCTAAATTTGATAAATGTTTAAAAAGTACTATGTGCACTGTTTACATCATGATGCGCTTTTATTATTATTTTCTAAACAATTACATAATAGCATTATATTTCAATAATTTAAATTCTAAGCCTTATTACTCAAAGAATACTAAAATATTTGACTTTACGTAAACACTTAATATTACATTGTTTATAAGCTATTATAATTGTTATTCATTTTTAATATACTTAGATTACAAAATAGGCTAACAACAATACAGAAACGTACATAAAATATGGGATTTTAAGGAATAAATCTAGGCGCAAAGAGCATATTTCATACATTTTTAATAAGATTTTAATTAACCTCACTCACAAATAGTTAAAAAAAAAAATGTTTAAAATACTGTTTAAAATTTGTGTTTACATATTGTCTACAAACCTATCTATAATACATACTGACTATTGACTATTTAAATATTTTTTAACCTACTACTTTGTCATTTTTTATTAGGAACTAATATAAAAGAATTGAAAGGCTCTAAATTTTTGGGAGTTGGTTAAACCACTCAATGGAATTTCTTTAAATTTATAAAATCAATCAATACTTTATTACCATTCAATGATTATCTTAAAAGTTACTACGATCTACGGTTATCTATTTGACAGTTAGTTTTTTTTCAAATCGATTGATAAATCTATTAAAGTTATAGTATTCTTAGAGCATTTTTACAATACTAGGATGTAGTATTTAAAATAGTACACGCTATTAAAAAATTAGTGCTTTCCCCTGTTTGCTTTGAATTAAAATAAAGATTGAAGAAATTTCACAACTTTTATTATTTATTTATTGAAATTATAATACAATGCATGGTTGCATTATATATATTTTCATTATTGGTTATAATAATTTGTTGTTTGCATTAAATAACTCATTTGTACTTAAAAATATTTTAGAAGTCGTAAACTATCAAATAATTTTAGAAATAGTTACACCTAATGTATTAATTTAATTATTATAATAAATACGTAATATTATAAATTATTAAATGTTTATGATATCAAACTGCCAAGATTCAATATCGTACATTGTATGAATATTAGTTTTTATAGTATAAACTATACCATTATTAAAATATACAGAAAAATATAAGTATGTCTGTAAATACTTAACAATTTTTCTCAGAATGAAAATCTAATAATTAAATTTTATTTACTTAAAAACAATTCCAAGTTATTATTATTATTTACGTAAACACCTTTGTAGGTTCTACCACTATACGAGTACATAATATATATTTTGATACAATTTAATTTTATATATTATTTTATGTAATAAAATGTTCTTATGTATAAAGAGAAAAATTAGACGTATATAATAATGGATTCATTAATGTATTAAAATTAAACGTAAAAATAAATTACTACAAATATTATTGGTGTATTTTGTGGAATTTTCAACAAAAATTTATTTAGGGATGACAGAGTTTTAATATCATATAAATCAACATAAACAACATTAGTTAAAAATAATCTTCTATATGAAAACACTAAAAAAATAATACAAACAAATTATTATTAAAACTTTTATAATTACGGGAATTGTATGTAACAATGCTTACTGTTTGGATCTTAATTTTAAATAGACTTACTAATTACAATGTTTACACTTAAAAACATCTTTGAATAACCAACATTTTCTTACGTAACTCTATGAGTGATATTTTTCAACTTTGTAAAATAAAAGTAAGACGTTAATATAAAAGTGTGGGTTTTTGTAATTTCATTGAATAATTAATTGAATATACGTTTACAAGTAAACAAGGTCGGATGTAAGTATATGTATATATTGTGTTTCAACTTTTAAATAATTTTCTTATGGGACTTGGCATTACATCTAAATATCAACGACGAAATATTTCGACATTCGTAATTCATAATATAACTATATTTAACTAGCATACTAATTACAGTTTAGTTAATAATCAAAATACAATGTAATGTACATTATATAAATCAATGTTAAGAATCCTTTTGTGATCAATATCTATACTATTTATAATATATAATATTTATATGAATTATATATATGTATGTATTTTTGCAACATGCTCTTTTATAATATTTTGTTTATTTGTGTTTAATTTTTCAAGGATATCATAAGAACGAAAATTATTTAGAAATCGGATTAACTTATAGTGGACAAGGTTATAAAAACAGAATTTATTTTGAGTTCAATAGTTCTGATTCATTCTAGTTCTGAATTAATAGAAGGTCATTTACTGGGAAAGGGACAATGTTTAAAAGAAATATATAATATTTTTTTACATTGGGTAAATGTTGACATTTTGTGATAGCAAAAACGTTTTTAGTACATTTTTTTCAATATATTTTACGAAAGCATTGATATGGTTCAAAATATTCTAATGAACCGTATCAATACTATTATAGTTTGAACAATAGATTTAGTATATTACTTTAAATGAATGTCTTTAAAAATTATGTAGGACAATAAAATAGATTATTATGTATTTAAATACTTAAATTTTTGTTTTTCATTCATTTTTATTTATTTTATATTTTTTTATTTTATTCATACCTATAAATTTCTATTTGAACTTTTGACCTAATTTTTTCTCTTCAATTTTCAATCACAACATTTTTACATCATTTGCTTCATCCATTTCTTTTTTTTTTTTTTTTGTGAGTTGATAATTTTCATTACTTTTAACGTTGAATAAGAAATCTTTGTTTGGCATTATCTATAAGATGATACAAGAAAAGGTTTTCAAATTGATAATCAAAAGTTACGGTGAAAACTGTATAGAGTGCTTTACGAATAATAGTGAATTTATATGAATGTATACCATGTAGAATATTCAACAATACAAATGATGGATAATATTATTATTCATTATAATCTGTTTAGAAATTGTACGAGTTGTTTTTTATTTTTTTTTTTAATTTTTATTATTTATTTAATCATTTTTATATATAAACTATTTGTTAGGTAATTTTTTTGTATATAGAAATAGTTTTGAGTTTTTTTTTTTAAATGTTAAGAAGTAAATTTATTTATAAATACAATTTTTTTGACCTCATTGACAATTTATTAGAGTTAATTTTTAATCATAAGTTAATTATGCAGTTTTAAGTTAAAATATTTAGAACCGTGGATACGTTTTTTTATTATTTTTTGATAATCCATAATAATCAGGCCCGTATTTAAAAATTTGGCGCCCCCATGCATATAATTTATGCCTCCCCCCCAAAATATTAATAATAATAATATAACACTTATTATTTCGTCTATAATCGAGATTCTTTAATATTAAAATATAACTTATAAATGAAAATCGTTTAATACTTTTTTTAATCAACAAATTAAACAAATTATAGCATAATAAAACATACAATTTCCTTTTTTTTTTTTTTTTTACTAACAAATTATAGTATAATAAAAATACAATTTTTTTTGAATTTACTAATTATAACATAATAAAAAAATTTCTTTTTTTTTCATTAAGTACCTACATAATTTTTAAAATTAATTTAGCTAAAATATTTTGCGGCCCCTGAGACTTAACGCCCTCGGGCATATTCCTATCCATGCCCCTCCCTAAATACCAGCCTAATTATAATCAATATTTTTACAGAAATGTTCTTAATTTTTATTTGTTATACAAAATTGGCATGAACTATTATAGTTATAAAATATTTTATAGACAAGTAAGTTACAAAATTATTCTTTTTGAATTACAATGTCATAAGTGCACATAATTAAATACTAATACAAAATTATTATTTAGAACAAAATTAAACAATCTTTATTTTATTTTTTTTTAATTAAGGACTCAAGTATGTAAATAAATTAAAGAGTTAAAAATAATATGAGAATTTGGTGTATTATATATATTATGAATGGTACCACCCTGGGGAGCGTACTCTTATAATAAGTGGAATAAAATCTAATTCTGAAAGTTAAATTATGTCTTAAATACGTACGTATATGTGTTTTATTCAGCAAACCTGTAGAATTCTTCGAATGAAAAAATATAGACATGATTTTATTATTTATACCAAATGAAAAAAATAAAAAATGGTAAATACTAAATAACTTATTTTATATAGGACACGACATCACTATTTATTTAACCTAGTTAAAAATTTACGTGAATATTTATAAACGTAAGTTTTTTAAGTAGAAGATTGATGAAGTTTAAAATACATATTTTAAAGTGTTGATGATGTACTTTAACTCAGTGGTTTACATAGAGAGGTTCGAACCTTCCCCCTCAAAATGTATGATAAGTTCAGCATACGTGTGCATTTATTTAACATATGTATTAGTATTTTTTAAATTTTTATTTTTTTTAAATGATTGTATATTTTATTATTATGTATGTAATATTTTTAAACGAGTAGAATATCTGAGTATAGTACTCAATAACTGAAAAAAGTTATAAAATTATATTGTAAGATAATAGTAAGTTTAACTCAGTGATTTTTGTAGAGGGATTCAAACCTTCCCCTCAAAATGTATGGCAAGTTCAGCATATGTGTGCATTTATTTAATATATGTACTTGGGATGGACTTGAAATCAGAATATCTGAATTAGTCTGGCGATAACGTTCGACATGAACACACGTTCGCGCGCACGTCCGCTCCGTTATCGGTCTCCGTAATTACTCCGAGTCCACCAAACATGGCGCCGCCTCAACCACCATAAACCCAAAAATCAAAATGGCATTTGTCCTCGCCTTCTAGCCCATCACCACAAGAAGAAAAGAAAATCAAACAATATACATCACCAAATCGATACGCGGCATTGGCCAAGGTCTCTGACGACGAAATTGAAAATGAGGTATTTAAACCAAACGAAAACATAGTAATCTGTGAGCAACTAAATAAAACTAAAACCACACCTATGCCTACCCGAATACCGGCGATCTACATTAAGAACGTCACCAACTTCTCAATATTCAGTAAGAAAATAATATCACTCACAGGCACTAACGATATTTCATTTAAGTCTACACCATCATTTATTATAATCCGCCCCAACAATCGCATAACCTACAACATAGCCGCACTGCAAACGTCAATACAAAGCAGTAATCAGAAATCTGCATCACTCCACTATCACAACTGATATTACAAACGCCCTGGCTGAACTTGGACACTCGGCCACGCGCGTGGTTAATATCAAAAAGAACCATCGTCCTTTACCAATATTCCATGTAGAACTGGCTCTTAAAGAAAACAATAAAGAAATCTTCAAGATTACAAAACTTCTTCACTCCGCAGTATTGATTGAAAAACCACATACCAAACGAAAAAACCCGCCTCAATGCTACACATGCCAAGCTTACGGCCATACGCGCAACTACTGTAGTCAGCAGCCTAGATGCGTTAAATGCGGCGAAAATCACTTAACAGATATGTGCACCAAAGATAGTAGCCTTCCGGCTAAATGTGCACTATGCTCTGGTGCACACACAGCTTCATACAAAGGTTGTATAATTTACAAAAAACTGACAAATTCAACAAACCAAAAAAGACAGAAATTTCTAAACGACAAGTCACCTCACGTCGTCATGCATCGCATGCTCCCCCGTCCGGTCCATCATATGCCAATGTAACAGCCGCCCAACCAATATCCAGTACTACAAATTCAAATTCAAATTCAACGTCAAACATCTTGAACGAACTCAAAATATTATTTAATCCATTAATTTCTCTGATAACTGTAATTTTAAGCAAATTAACAACAATATTCCCATAGCAGTCATTATTTCCAATATTAAATCTTTTATCAACAAACCTCATTAAAATTATCTACAATCCCATTCCATATTCTATTTGTATAAACCGTAATCTAAACTTTTAAACTGTAATCTACAAACTTGTAATAGCATGCAATATGCTGAAACATTTAATTATAATAAATAAATAAAAAAAAAAAAAAAAAATATCTGAATTATCCGGATTTATGAATTTACTTTTTATATAATTTATAATTGTTTTTAGTTTCAAGTAAAATAAATTATTTTATTTTATTGTAATAACAAATTAATATTATATTTTATGAATTTTAATTTACTTATCATGATTTCAACAGTTTTTATAATGTATTATTAGTTACCAAAATTACAATTTATTACATTGTTGAGTTTACTTTATACCTCTATGACTTACAGTAATATCATGACTGAATACCCATTTACCTTATCTTAACTGCATAAACTTTGATTGGTTATTGAATAAGATTTTCTAAAGATAAGTTGAATTTATACTACAATACAATATAATTAAATATGTGTAAATATAAAAATTAGTAATTGGAGACTAAAATTGAATTGAATAATCCGGATAGTTCGGATAATCTATGAAATCCGGATATGCCCATCACTAATATGTATTAAATAAAGTTGAACTGAATTATAAACTTCAACGTAGATGATTAAAATAAAACGAAATCGATACTTTTTGCCTTGCATTTGATAATTATTAATTTTTAATTTAATTATCTTATAAAATGTTAGCAGCTAACACTCCTGTTTATCTTGTTAAACGATCTCCATGATCAATCAAATTATCTGTATCTTTATATATATACATATATTATATGTATTGTAAATGTATGAAAAAAGTTATACAAAAAAATTGAACGAAATAAAGGTTTATAATCGAATGTATATGAATGCGGTAAATATTTGTTGTTTAATACAATAAATTAATATTGAACATGATTTGACTAGAAGATTTTGAGCTTTTATTAAAGTAATTGAGTTGATAGTTTACCCTAATTATATTTGTAAATGACAAAGAGTGGATGAGAATATTATAGTTGATGTTCAAAGATAAAAAATTTTTTTTGCAATTTAGTAAAAGTGTTGTCAAAAATATTAGTGTAGAAATAATACACACATAAGCAAAATTATATCGAGCAAACAACCAACGACTTTACAATGTTCGTAATATTATATTATGACAACATGATATAGTGTAACCACATAATGTATTTTAATTTGATGTTTTGGGTTTTTCGATACGTACTTGTAATATGGAGATGGTCATTTTGTTTAACGAAGTTCTAAATTAAATATCAAAACACACGCGTACACGTGCACGAGGTGAAATGAAAACGGACGTTCTGCGGCTATGTGTCCATATTCGAGTGCGACGTGTGTACTACAGAACACAAGCGAACATACACGGTATCCTGTCATTTACAAGTTGTATTTATACATGCTTGGACAGTTGTTGCTGTGTTATTTAACATACAAGTATGTGATGTCAAAAAACCTCTTAAAAATCGAATAACATAATGTTTTGATCCCATGGTGAACAATGGGACGACGACTATCAAGGTTGACCCATGTGAATTTGACTAGTATAGGTTTATTTCAGATAGCTTCACACGAGTTGACGTAATAACATCCACAGTCATTATTATTTAAATTATTTTATACGTATATGTGTATGTGTGTGTGTTTTTTTTTTTTGGTTTCCGAGGATATGTGGAAATCATTAATAGGTTGATATAGTATGTAGGCTCTGGCTCTGCGAGCGCACAGGTAAATATGTGTATTTAACGGTGTCAAAACATAAACGCAGATGCACGTTTGTGTGAAACAGAGTTTTGTAAGTACCAAATACAAACGTTCAGGAGAATAATAGGTGTTATGTGTGCAAGATCGGCAGTTGATTTCCAGGACAATTTTATACCGAATCAGGCCATCCGTTTCCCAGAAAACACGTATTATTATTATTTACCCATCCGTGTTCGAATAATTAATTTAAAAAACGAATCGTTAACAATTGATACAAGAATTTTTTTTTTCGATCGTATTCTTACTTGCAATATCGCAGCGGTAACCGTAATTCAATTTGTTTATTTATGCTAATACGAGTATTTATTTTAAATGATTTACTAACTGGATGCTCGAGTTTCGATCTAGTTTCTATAGATACACAAAAGCTACAAGGTCACAAGCATACCTACTAACAATCGAATTATATGCTGAAATTGTATGTATTTTAACACTAATACATTATTACTTATTACTATAATTAAAACATAATGATACAATATATTATTATGTACAAACTCTCGGTCCACGGACCATAAATGTAAATGTAAATTATATTGTGACTTAAAATACATCTATTTTATTTCATTGTTAGAATAATTTAAAAACGGTTTGGTAAACTGTTTATATTTTACTATTTATATCCGGTCACCATACAAAGTAAATACATACATTTTTATTTTATATAATGTGTTATATTATTATAAATTTGTTTTATTGATAATTATTAAAATTACAAACAGTGTAATAAATAAGGTTCCTATGAGTATAAAAGTTAAAGATAGAGAGAGCAAAATTACGTATATTCATAAACGGTATGGATGTAGAATAAAATTCGAATAAGATTGATTTGAGAGAAGAACAATAAAGTTGATAAAAGAAGAGATTAAGAGAAATAATATTTTCAATCAAATTAAAATGTATTTCAATGAATAACAATTGTTTTTTTATAGATCTAATTTGATTATTATGTATCTAAAAAAATACCATTTAAAAATAATAAATATTTTAGCAAATTATTGAAGTAATGAATTCTTATATATGTTTCTAAAAAAAATTTTGACCACGAAGGTAAACATGATTATTGAATATATTTCATTTTTAAAATAAAACAATTTATTATTTCACAAAAACTAAAAATAATAATATAAAAATGGTTTTTATTACATTTATTTGTTAAATAATGTCATTATTTATTATAATTTACTTGACGTTGATCCATTAGGGCCGACTTAAAGTGTTATAACTTAATCAATATTTTGTAAAAATTTCAAGAGCAATTTAAAAGTTTTAAACTTTTAAGTCATGTCACCGTCTCCATTTTCCATTGGGTGAATTAGAAAAAAGGTCAATTTTCAGTTGACCCATACACTTTGTCATTGAACTTTGAAGTTGGTACCAAATAATTAGGTATAATTTACAAGTTATTGTTTGTTTAACTTTGAAGTTAATAAGTTAACCTAGAATTTAGTTAGATTAACCTTATAACAATAATAATGAAAATTATTATTATTCTATAATACATTACTTTTATTGTATGATAAGAGTTATATTAAATCGATAATACTAATAAAAAATATTAATAAGAAAAAAAAAAGTCTGAAAATGATAATCTAATACCTAATTAGATTTCAACGATCCCAGAAAATAACTTTACGTTGACCACTTAGGTAATAGTAGCAATAATTATTTTATTTAACAATTTTACTCATAAATATTTATTGGTTATTTCAATATATTTTAATTTGTCTCTAAATTTTTATGCAAATGTGTCAAAACAATGAAATACGATTTTTTCATAAAATGTTTTATTCGTTTTTACAATAAGTAATTTATGATCTCAAACTATAAAAAAAAATTTTTAACTTAACATACCAATAACAAATATTAGCTAATGTTACTGAATCTAAATTTAAAATGCAAATACAATTCATATATTTGTTCAATACCAAAGTTTTAAGTTCTAATTTTATCATTAGACTTATTAGTTTTAAGAAGACGGATATTTGAACACTTATTGATTCTCAATAAATAATGAATTTTATCCATGTTATATATAGTAACTAATACATATTACCATTTTTTACATAATTTTTGTAGTATAATTTGGAATTTTTCTTCCATTTTATATTCGATGTAACTAAAAAATATATCTATAGAGATTATGCACATTTATTTAAGAACTTTAAGCCGATTCAATGCAGCTTGTATCTGAAAAATTTAGCGATATACTTAAGAATAGTTGTATAATAATTAAAACTAGAAATAATACAAATCAAATAAATTAATAATATACATACTATAAACTATTAAAGCATGTAAAGCATGTAACAGATGACTTATTGACATTTTATAGTCTCACTGTTAAACGAATATAGCTATAAAATATAATTTATATATAAAATTATAATATATACAGTTGGTTTAAAATAAAAATAATAATTATTATATAAAATTGTGACGAAAATTTGAAATATTTTGAATAATGATGTTTCATATTGAATATGAATTTCAAATTTACATTTATTTATTCTAATAAGAATGTATAATATGAAGAATAACAAAAAACAGTTATTTTACTGTTAATCATATCATAAATAAGGTACCTACGTTATACTTCTTATATTCTGTTTAAAATTCTGCCTGCTGAGTTCATAATAATCAACATTCACCTTAGCTATACAATACGATTGTTAGGTTTCTTAGTATTATTTGCACACATTTTCAAATACGTATTTACCATCGTATTCTTCACTCACACCTTTTTTTTTTTTACTTCTATTTAGAAATTATAAAACTTCTTGCTACAAAATGAATATATTCTTTTGATAAAGTTGTATGATTTATTTGATGTATGCATTCAAAATTTTATCTTTTGTACACACTTGTATACTTTTTATTCTTTTAAAATATTTTAGATTTTTTTTTCTTTAGTTCTTTAATCAAATTTTTAGATAAAAAATTTTCATTACACACTTCTCATAGTATCTTATCAAATAAAATTAGTTCAAGAATGAGTATGATAATTTGAGATAACAATGAGAAGTTTTTTGTTTTTCTAAAAATTTTTTTTGAATATTTTTTTAAACATTTTTCTAAATGATTTTGGATAAGATAAATTTTGAATTTTATACTTTAAATTATCTCTTTCATTTGAATTGAAGTATTTGCATATATTCATACACTGTTACACTATTTAAATTTTAATTACAATTAAATCGAACACAATTATAAAATTTATTTGATGAATTATATCTTATAATGGTTTTTTGAATGCAGATACTTATGATAACTATGATTATTTACGAATTTATAATTTTTACTTTAAATGCCATAAAATACCTGAACTCTAAACAAATATTTTTTCAAAGTTCTATTGAATTATGCTAAATGATTTTATTTCATAAAATGCATTTTAAAATAGACAAAATAGAATACCTACTCATAATGTATCAAATTATTTAGTTTGAATACTGTTATATTTGTAAATATAACGTGTCAATAAGAATTACCTATATACATTATAGTGTACAACTTTTTCAAATATCATCATCCAAAATGTTAATGTCTAATAAGTTATTTTTGTGCGTGGATAAAATAAATCATTAGATATCATACGATGTACCTACGTATCAAAAGAAAACAAACTCAGGGGAAATTTAGCAATGAACAAAATAATCAGCTAAAAGTTTTTACGAAAAGTATAATTTAAACCGAAACCTCTATAGCAGGGGCGGCCAAACGGTCGATCGCAGACGATTTCTGAGTCGATCATGTTAGAATTTATTTTTAGGCCACGTGCACTTCAACAATGCCCAGATCAACAAAATAAATATTAATATGTTAATTAGACTTAAGTATTTAGATTTTAGAAATTATTATATTTTTAGTAATTAATTTATTATACTTTATGTATATTTATATACATTTTAAGCAAGTATGTTTCTTAATAATTATAATTATTTAATAATAAAAACATTTTTCCAAAAAGTCGATCTTCAAAGGTGAAGTATATTTTTAGTAGATCGTAGCCGAAAAAAGTTTGGCCACCTCTGCTCTATAGGGCCAAAATATCGAGATTAAAAGAATTAAGAAATAATGAGAACAAGGATCTCTATCAATATAGACATTAAATGATAGAAACGTAATCTAGTTTTTTACGATAAAATTGTTTAATTTAGATGCTATAATAAATATCTACGATACTATAAAAATAATAAATAAATTTAAATACTGTAATACATTAAAGATGAAGCACCTAGGCGTTCTCAGACTTGTATTTCAGGAGGTACCTATAATACTTTTGGGCCCTACCTTAACAAAAAATAAAAGTATATTTAATTAATTATAATGTATAAATAATTATATAAACATAAATTTAATTTTTTATATAATATTGTGGTATATTAGTCTCAATGAATATGCTTTCCAGTGTATCATCAATTGATAGTAAGCAATTTACCGAAAATAATTGATCGCAAGTCAATTGATCACAAAGCCAATTTACGGCACAAAAATTTACCATAAAAATAATAACTATTGTTAACTATTTGTTTAAATATCAAATCTTATCTAACGATATACTCATACAGTTGTACACTCGTATAGA